CAAGCACTCCAACACTTGCTACCAACCACAAGATCTCACAAAAGTTCTTTCGCTGTGTACAAGGAAAAGAAAACTCAGTCACGGTCATTCGGTATGACTTGTCAGACGGGTCCAACTCATGAGGCATCCTTCACAAAAATTTTTTCCGATAACCGAGATTGCGGAGAAGCATGGCAGTTGTCAGTCAGGTGGAGCCTAGAGAGGTTGCCAACTTACTGGTGGTTACGTTCGGCTGCGCCTCAAGAAGCTTGAGTAAAGGGCCGTCATTCTGTGCTGATGGGCGACCTATACATTGCCTAACTACGAGTTAAATAAGTCCAGCCTAGAAGCGCTGATGCAAAAGCTACCCTCTGCCATGGCAAGCGATATCCTTCCTCAAGACAACGTAGTGTCAGCTTCCTTGACTACGGCGAAGTGGCCCTACAGGAACTCATAATATGGGACAGGTCGAAAAGTACCTCGATCTCTGGGGGACTTTTAAGCTTTGAAAACTTCCTCAAAGTCATGATATACCCATGTGCAGAAACCCCAGAGGACAGTCTCCACTAATCAGGGATAAAAACATCCAAAATGATTTTTGGTCTTTTTCTAGAACAATTCAATCAAAGTGTCGCAGGACTTTTCGAACAACCTAATATAAATGAAAACAATGAAAACATCGGATGCAAGAAGCTCACCAGAAAGCCGAAGTATGCCCCTTATGCCGACCCAAAAATAGGTGGAACCGCTTATCAGATTCCAGGTTCGCTCAGGATAGATGTCGCAAAATCTGGTAGCACATTAGTGTTAACAGAAGGAAGGTCCGCAAAGTTGATTGCGATGTATTGTCGGGCGGGGCCGAGCGCGTCTAACGGATAGCCGTTGCGGCGCTGCTCTGTCACCGCGTACCGACGATCCCAGCTGCTGTCGCGACACACAACGGGCGACCGTGATTAGGTGCCTGAGTTCAGCGAGATCGTTGATTTCTCCGCCACTGTAGACCACCCTGTTGAACTCCGCCCGAACCGGGTAATTGAGGGGGTTTAGGTCAGGTGACTTACTTGGATATTCCGTCTTCTTCAGGTACTCAACGCCCTTCCATTCCAAGTAGGCGAAGTTTTTCCAACGCCCTTCGATTCCGTGTGGAGGCACCCAATCCTGTAGCAGTACGAAGTCTCCAAGAAGGTACAGGCGATGACATGAAGGCAGGATATTCTTCACGAGTTGGTCGATGTAACCGTCAGCGCTCACTTCAGTCCGGGGTCCACGAAGAAAATATCGGTCTTCACATTCCAGGAACTTCCGGTCCATACCACCAACTCGCGCCTTGGCGACTGCGGTGAAGATGATATCCTAGACCGTAGCGACGTTGTCGGAGCTGCTCGACGTTGGAGATCTTGCAGATCAAGAGTCTCCAGGTAGCTAACATGTAACTCCATTTAAGAAGTTTCGCAGCTGTTTGGAGGTGACGTGAATTCCAAAGGCCTTTTCCAGTCAGGCTGCGACTGGAGATGACTTCATATTTTGGTGTACATGAAGGTGATGGCGGCAGCCTGCTCCTGCTTATAGAGGAACATCTTGGGTATCTTCCGCCCTGGTACTCGTATCCACTTCCTCTGTCTGGGCTGCGAAATTTCCACTGATATGTGACTCGGCCGAAGTGACAGTGGAAAGTCAGTTCTAGCAGGTAGTGGGACGAAAACATTATTAATGAGTGACGGAAGGTTATCACAGTGGGACGGAAACACTATTAATGAGTGACGGGAGGTTATCACAGTTAATAAGATCTGATATGAGGCTGCAGAAGAGGAAATTCGTCAAATGCATGAGGTCGCAGTAATAGTAGGAAGTCAATGCCAACATGCGATGTGTGGTGTGATTCTGGGGTACTCATGATGGGTGACAGAAAGTAATAACGGCTAACAGGAACTGATAACGAGCATTAACGCAATCGTCCCTCTTCCAGCCGGTATTGGTTTCACAGCGCCGCATTCGAATGTTCTGGAGCAGAGACCTTGACGACAGGTGGGAATCATGAAATCACTTGATAAGTGCTGATAAAAATGTCTTCACTAGATTTCTCAAGTCTGTACTGCTGCCTCTGTAGCTCAGGTATTACGGGCAAGCAGCTCAGTGCTTAATGTTCGCTGATCCTTATAGTCTCGTCCAGTGAATCATGAAAGGAGTCAGTGCCATCTGTTATCATGGTGAAAGGGTGCGAGAGACAGCATCCGGTGGAGTGCTTATGCCTCCACTTATAGGGCGGGTATGAAACTGAATACTCGCTGAGAACATCTGCTCTGTAATTTTATTAGAGAAAAATCCGATGATGTCGATGTAACACAATCAACAGTGAATTGTTGCTGATATGTGGAAACATTGTCAAAACTGATACAGTGACGTCAGAAAAAAGGTTTTTTTTCTGATGTGGCATGATTGGCAATTAGAGTTGAAGGAAGCAATGAAGAAATTTCACAGTAGAAATAACTTCGTTAAAGGCAAATGCTAAAATAAAGCGCATTTCCGTGGGTGTAGTTACCAAACAGCACAACGTTTAGTAGGATTCATCGGAGTGCCAACAGCGCATTTGAAAGGCAGCAGCAAACTCTGGTTGATTAGCGACAACCTGATTAACCCTGAAAGAATGACCTGTGAGAACCAAATAGGAAT